CCCATAAGACTGTCAGCTGATTTCTCAAAACAAACTTTGCAGGCCAGAAGGGAGTGGCAAGAAATATTCAGAGAGATGAAAAGCACGAACCTACGACCAAGATTACTCTATCCTGCAAAGCTGTCATTTAGAATCGATGGCCATATTAAGACTTTCCCAGACAAGAAAAAGTTAAAGCAGTTCATCAGCACCAAACCATTATTATATGAAGTGTTGAAGGGTCTTTTTGAATAAAAAGATAAAATATACAAACAAACAAAATGGCAATGAATACATATCTATCGACAATGGAATCTACAAACAAAATGAACAGGCAGAACAGAAACATTCTTGTAGATACATAGAACATTTTGTTGCTTGCCAGATGGGAAGGGGGGTTGGGGGAATGAGTGAAAAAGGTGAAGGTATTAATAAGAACAATTTGGTTGCTAGACTGGCAAACCACAAAGAGAAGGAGGTTGGGGGATGGGAAGAAATAAACCAAAGAACTTATATGCATAACCAATGGACACAGACAACAGTGTGGGAAAAGGTGGAGGGGGTTGGGAGAGGGGAGGAGGGTGTCTGGAGTGGGGAGGAGGGGGTCAATGAGGGAAAAATGAGGAACATTTGTAATACATTCAACAATAAAGATTAAAAAAATAATAATCATAAATAAAAAGAGAAAGAAATCAGCTGACAGTCTTATGGGGGTTCCCTTGTAGGTAACTAACTGCTTTTCTCTTGCTGCTTTTAAGAGTCTCACTTTATCTTGAACCTTTTGCATTTTGATGATGATGTGTCTTGGTGTGGGCCTCTTTGGGTTCATCTTGTTTGGGACTCTCTGTGCTTCCTGGATGTGTATGTCTGTTTCCCTCACCAAGTTAGGGAAGTTTTCTGCCATTATTGTTTCAAATAGGTTTTTGATTTCTTGTTCTCTCTCTTCTCCTTCTGGCACCCCCAAGATGCGAATGTTGGCATGCTTGAAGTTGTCCCAGAGGCTCCTTACACTATCTTCATTGTTTTGGATTCTTTTTTCTTTTTGCTGTTCTGATTGGGTGTTTTTTGCTTCCTTAGATTCCAAATCAATGGTTTGCTTCTTGGCTTTACCTACTCTACTTTTGAATCTGTGTAAATTATTCTTTATTTCAGTTAGTGTCTCCTTCGTTTCTGACTGGTCCTTTTTTATGCTCTTGAGGCCCTCACTAAGTTCACTGAGGTTCTCACTAAGTTCATTGAGCATCCTTATAAACAGTACTTTGAACTCAGCATCTGTTAGGTTGCTTATCTCCATTTCAGTTAGTTTTCTTCCTTGAGATTTTTTTCTGTTCTTTCATTTGGGACATGTTTGTTTGTCTCCTCATTTTGGCTGCCTCCCTGTGTTTGTTTCTATGTATTACTTAACGAGAGGTATGGGGCTAGCTGAGACTAGATGCTGCTTGTTTGAAAGAATTTAGGAAAACCTCAAGCAGGATCCAAGACAGGCCAATCCTATGGTTAAGCAACTGGCAACAACTTGGGTGGGCCTGAAAGTTGGGTGTGGCAGGGCCTCAGGGAATCACCAGGGCGGGGCAACCAGTGTGAGCCAGGTTGCTGGACTCCCAGATATGGTGGCTGTCTGCTGCCCAAGGGAAGTGCTCGCCAAAGGAACAAAGGCCTCTGACAGCACATTTGTCCCGGAGAAAGCCCCATCTCCAGTCCTTGCTCCAATGCCAAACAACTCAACTCTTCCCTGTATGTCTCTGGTGCCCTTCGAGCTGTCTCCCCCCCAAGCTTAGAGGGAGTGAGTCTGATAAATCCATGCACGGGCCCTTTAAGAGGAGCTGTCTGGGGCTCCAGCCGCCTCAGCCTCCCTGAGCCTCAGTTCCCACTGGTTTTTGCAGCCGGAAGTTATGGGGACTTTTCTTCCTGGCACTGGAACCCTAGCGGGGCACCTGGTGTGGGACAGGGACCCCTCAGTCCTCAGGGAGGACCTTCCCAGTCTTGGTGTCCTAATTTTTATCCCCCACACGTGGGTGTGGGACCAGCCCGTCTGCCTCTGCCCCTCCTACCAGTCTCGATGCAGCTTCTTCTTTAATTTCACAGTTGTAGGACTTCCATTCAGCTTGATTTCAGGTGATTTTGAATGATGGTTGTTCTGTAGTTTAGTTGTAACTCTGATGTGCTTGTGGGAGGATGTGATACCGTGTTTACCTACCCGCCATCTTGACCGGAAGTCCTGCTGAGTGTGTTCTTGGATGAGGACCTGTGTGGCTCCTCATGAAACTAGATGGGAAATGAGTCCTGTACGTGTGGAAGCTGGAAGGGCCTGGCTGTGCTTGGAGTTGACCGAAACAAGGAAGCCGCAGCTCTTCTTCCCCAGCCTTTGTTATGCACTGAGTCTGCCCCTTGAGTGCAGGTTGGCTGGTGCTTCCACATGGTCTGAAGCAGTCTACCAGGTTTTCTGCCTCTGGGGCCTCCCAGGAAATGTAGGCCAAGGTCAACCACTGCCTATGTTATGCTTGGGGCCACTCAGCATGAGCTACAAAGTGATCTGAAGGTGGTTACTACTTATGCCGGGCGTGGAGGTGCCAAGGCAAGACCAAGCCGTGAACCAATGTTGGCTGCGGCTAGTGCTGGGCTTAGGGTATGAAGCACACTGAGGCCAGATTCTACTTGTTTGATAAATTTTAGGAAAGTCTGAAGCATGAGCCAAGACAAGCCATCTGATGGAAAAGCCACTGGAAACAGTTTGGTTTGGGCCCACAATTTGGGCAGGGCAAGGTCCCAGGGAATCACCTGGGCAGGGCTAACAGTGTTAGCCAGGTGGATGGAGACTCAGATTTGGCACCTACCTTGTAGCCCTGTTGGGGAGGGTGCAATGGCCTCTGCCAGCACTTTTGTTTGGCAGAAAGCTCCACCTCCAGCTCTGGCCCTGATGTGGGACAATTCAGTTTCTCCCTGTATATGCCTGGTGCCTTTCGAGCTATTGCTCCAATGTTGGAGATCAGAGGGAACGAATCTGAGTAAGTCCATAAGTGGACCCTTTAAGAGAAACTGTCTGGGATTCCAAAAGTCCTCTATCTCACTCAGCCAAAATCCCCACTGGTATCTACTGCCAGCAATTATGGGGACTTCTCTTCCTGGCACTAGAACCTTGAGCCGGGGGTTGGGAGAGCTGGTGTGGGGCTGAGACTCCTTGCTCCTCAGGGAGGATCTCTGCAGCATCTGAGATATCCCTTCTGATTTTTATCTACCACATGTGGGTGTGGGACCAGTCTGTTCTGCATCTCCACCCCTTCTACCAGTCTCAATGTGGCTTTTTTTTTTAATCCTTAGTTGCAGGACTTTCATTTAGCTAGATTTCTGGTGGTTCTGAATGTTGGTTGTTCTGTAGTTTAGATGAAAAATTTTTTTTATTCTCACCCGAGGACATTTTAAAATATTTTGTTCAGATAGAATGGGAGGGAGAGAGAGAGAGAGAAACATTGATGTGAAAGGGACACATCGAGTGGTCGCCACCCACACAATTCAACCAGGACCAGGGACAAACTGCAACCGAGGCACGTGCCCTTAGCAGGAACCAAACCCGGGTCTCTTCAGACCGCAGGCTAATGCTCCAACCTTTGAGCTAAACTGGCCAAGGCTAGATGTCATTTTGATGTGGTTGTGGGAGGATGCAAGTACCACATTTACCTATGCTGCCATCTTGATTGGAAGCCTCATTTTAACCATTTTTAAGGGTACAATTTAGTAGCATTAAGTACATTTTTATTGTTGTGCAACCATCACCACTAGAGCTAATTTTTCTTAAACACAGAAGTTCTCTGGATGATGCCTAGGATCTGGAAATGGCACTTTAACACACTTGCTAATAAAACATCATAAATTCTACCTTTTTTCAGAGATAAATATCTTTCTAAGATTCTGTACTGCTTCCCAGAACTCAGTACATTTGAATTAGCTGAATTATAGTGTAGTGATTTAGAGCCAAACGTGCTGGTTTAAGTTTTGGCTTTCCTATTTGCTCACTGTGTGACCTTGGACAAATTGCCTAACCTTTCTGTGTCTTAGTTTTCATTCTTAAAAGAGGAATCGTGGTGATAGTATTTCTCTTAGAGACTTGGGATGATTAAGTGAATAAAGCATGCTCGGCACATAGTAATTGTGATATAAATGTTAGGTATTATTTTTATTCTTAGAAATAATGTCTTCAAAGTCTCCTGCTGGACTGAATGTGCTTGAGGGCAGAGACTTCATCAATTTTGTCTACAGTTTATGTTTTTGTTTTTAAACATACACATTTAACTTTATTTATCATTGTCATTTAAAGCTTGATTTTATAAAACACAGAAAGACATTAAGAGTTTTGTATTACCAGATTTAAACAGTAGAAATGGGGACAGCTTTGTAAATGTAAATTATATACATTAAAATAAAAAAATTGGAGATCTTTGTCAACAGGGAAACTATACAAATGAAATAAATGGCAAAAGAACCTTCTAGGAATATTTTGTGTTTGTGGATTATCAGTTACTTTAGGACTAAACAAAGGTTCTGAATATTCAGACTTTATTTGCTGTTTCACATTGACCTATACTCTGAGTCAAGCTACTTGACCAAGATGGTTTAGGAAGGCATTTAGCTTTATAGCAAAAGTTTTCCATCTCCAGTTACCACCTTCAAAGGGATTGACAGTGCTTTTGTTATCTGCTGGATCTCTTTGAACAGTGTGCAAAAATGACACCAACCCTATGGAAAGCCAAACAGGTGCCAAAAAATGGAACACCTTGCACTGCTCAGTAAATTATACTGTAGAGTTCTCCATCTAAAAATTACTCAGTGAAACAGGACATGAATACAGTTGACGTGGTTTCGGGAAACACGTCTGAGCATCCGCGCATCCTCGGTCGTGGACGGGGTTTTGTAGGCCACCATGCTGTTTCCTTTGTGGATGATAGTGGTGAAGGAAAGCAGGCGGACTTGCTCAGAATTGGTAATCAACTGTGGTCCTGACCCTTCCCACTTTTCAGGTACAACCAGATCTTTGTAGATCAGCAGATCCAATGAACAGGAAACTTCCAGCAGTGGCAGAAATGTCACAGTAGCTGTGATCGGTCTGATCACCGAGCGGATTCATCTTGGATAGCTTTCTGAGGCTCTTCTCTGGGTGTACTGTCATCTTTGGCAGTCTTGTCACACTCAATGTCAAACTGCCATCTCTCGAGGACCCCCCCATTACCAGTGTTCACGATGACCACCCCCAGTTTCTGCACTGAGCACTTCTACAACCAATCTTTTCCACCACGTTGTTTAGGTATTTCATGAGGTCATGATCAGTGGTTACAAGCAGGGTGAGTCCATATTTCTGCACTCGAGTAAAGGTTTCAGCTGGATAAATGCCACGCTGATATAAAATGCTGTTGGTGCCAAAAGGACTCGGCCACGCAATCGGCGCTCCAGCGCAGGGCGACGCCCTGCTCCCGGGCAGGCTGCCACGCCAGCGCCAGGCCCACAGCCGGGCGCCCACCGCGCATGGCCAGCCCCGGCTCCAGTTTTGTTTACTGTCATGTGAGTTCTTTGCAAATACCTCAGATTGGCGTATATTTCAGCTCCTCCTCCTCTTCTTCTTTTTTGCCTTAAATTTTTTTGTTGTTTATTTGTATATGGACTTACTGAGAAAAGATTAAGATGGCTGCCTGCTATTCATGAGCTTTTGGGTTTTATTTTAAAGCTTAAGTGATTTGGGGGAAGGAGAGAGTTGGAAAAATTGACACTTTCCTTCATGATTTACCGAGGAGAGTAACCCAAGGGGAAGGCAAGAACCCTTAGTGCCTTCCAGGAGTTCATTTGTAAGAGCCCTTGGCTTTCCCTGGGAAAATCCTGAGCTCTACAGTGGGAAAACTGTATATCTGCCTTTAGGGGGTGCTGTTTATCAGGATTATCCTAATGCCAGAAAAGGGGGAAGGGGAAAGGAAGGCAGCAATGACATCAGCAGGAAGTTGAAATCCAGTTTTCTTTTAGCACAGCCAGCAACAAGTTGAGTTTGTTTCCCACGTAAATGGGAGCTTTCTTGGAACTTGGAGCACTCGAAGGATTCTAATTTATTTAAAACTTTGTTTTTAGGCAATTTCCCCAAGAACCACTTACTTCCAGAAGATCTGTGGACTCTGATTTGAAGGTATGTAATTAACACCTTTCCCCTGCAGCATTTTTTCCTTGCTTCTATTGTAGAAACTTGCAAAAACTCTTATTTTCAGTAATGGCACTATTTCTACCTGGATTGATTAGCCTTCCCAGGGAAAATGAAAGTTTAAAAAGCCTCAGGAAGGCTTCGACACAGCCTTTTACTGGCCAAAATATGCCAGTCTACAAATAAGAAGTCTGGCTGACCCACCAAAGCTAGAGATTTAGGATCTTGAGGAAAATGTGTGATGTGTTAGAATAGGAAGATGTCTCCAAGAAACCAACTACTTGGTTTCTCATATGATGAGGTTGCTGAAGGGAAACGTCCTTGGGTGATCACATTAAAATGAGATTTTTAAAATCTCCTTTTTCTTTTTTTTTTAATCCTCACTCGAGGACATTTTTCAATATTTTGTTCAGATAGAGTGGGAGGGAGAGAGAGAGAGAGAGAGAGAGAGAGAGACAGAAGCATCGATGTGAAAGGAACACATCAAGTAGTTGCCACCCACATGACCCAACCAAGGCCGGGGACAAACTGCAACCAAGGTACGTCCCCTTAGCGAGAACCAAACCCAGGTCTCTCTGGACTGCAGACCGACGCTCTAACCGCTGAGCCAAACTGGCCAGGGCAAAATATTTATATGTAAATATTACTTTTATATATAAAAGTAATATATGTTCATTGCATAAGACTTAAGAAACTCAGGCAGGAGCCCAGAAGAAAATTTATACTTTGTGTAATTATGCCACCTAGATATAAGCACTCTTTGTTATTGCTGTTTTGTTTTTGCTATGTTCTCTTTCCTTTAGAAAGTAGTTTCTTGCTTCTAAATAGCCAAGTCTTGCATAGTGAACACATACCTTGTTATATTATGAATAATACTACATTGAAAAATTGTATCAATTTTTTGCTCCTCTTATTAGAATGGAATTTAGTATAGAAAATACCACAGTTTATGAACTGGCCATGTGAAAATATTGACTTGGTTAATTTGTGACTTTCTATATTGATTTGAGCAACCGTTGTCTAAAACCTCCCTCTGTTTCTGGAATCTAGGATTATGGCTGCTCTTTCTGTGGTTTAGAAACCTGTCCCATTATAGTTAGCAAGGTTACCTCGCGGTCCTTGGGTTGGTAGGTAGTTCAGAAATATTACCCCCCCCCTACATTGCTTTATTTCTAAAATGTGAGGCATAAATCTAAGCGCTATTTCTGTCATTTGGTGGGAATGACTTAAGAGCTCCAACCAGGTCCTGGCCAGGTAGCTCAGTTGGTTAAATATCTTCCTGTTACTCCAAGGTTGCGAGTGTGATCCCCAGTCAGTGTGCATACGAAGCAACAAATGAATGCATAAATAAGTAGAATAACAAGTCAATCTCTCTTGCGCGCATGCACGCTCTAAAAATCAATCAATAAAAAAATAAATTAAAAAAAAAAAAAGAGTTTTAACCAGAAGACAAACTCCAAAGGGAGCTATTGTGCTGTTTTCCTCCATTTAATTCGCTTCTATGGGGGACATTTTGATTTCAGAGAAGTCAGAGTAAATGAATTCTTTTTTTTTTGTTATAGATATTTCTCCTCTTTTACCACATTGACACCCACATCCCCATCCCCCCAGGGTAAATGAATTCTGAAAAAGGTTCCCTCCAGACCTTCTAAAGAGTTAACATACAAGTGTTGAGGTCAAATTTTCTAGGCTGTTGGTTTTTGAAATAACTGCATAATTATTTTTATTTCAGTGATTTTTATTTTTCAGCACTTCTAGAAAAGTCTAATGCCTATAATGGAGGAGGCTGAAACCAGGAGAGGGTCTGGGAGGTGACATGTGTCTTTACTCTTTAATGTGCTACCCTACTTTTCTGTCTTTTTCAGACTGGCCATGTCATTTCAAGTTCAAAGCAGGAGTTCCAGTTCAGATGATAATGGTATAGGGAACTTTCGCAGAAGGCTTCTGAATATTGATTCAAACCTAGGGGATCAAGCGGTAGAAAAATTAAAGTTTCTCTGCCGTGACTTCGTCTCCCACAAGAAGCTGGAGAGGTCCAGGTCAGCCTTGGACATTTTTGATCATCTCATGACAGAAGACCTTCTGAGTGAGAAAGACCCCTTCCTCCTAGCGGAACTCCTCTGTATCATGCAGCATAGCTCACTGTTGAAATACCTCAACTGCACCAAAGAGCAAGTAAAGAGATTGTTGCCCACCCAAAAGAAGGTCTCTCTGTTCAGGTGAGGAGGGGTCTATAATCAAGACAGGAGGAGTTTCTGTTCATTGAGTGTTCATTCAGGCCATTGGGCCTTGAAAGGAGACTGGGATTAAGATCTCTTTCTTATCTACTTCCTTGGGTGTTACAGTGATCTACCCTAGGAGATTTCTCAGCTCTAAGTACTATTGGAAATGAGAGGTTGGGACTCTCTGGGCCTGGCAGTGGCTTTACTTAGTTTTGTATTTCATTGACAAGGGAAGCCCATCTCAGTGTAGCAAGCCTGTACTTCTCTTGTTCCCAATCTCCACACCCTCAGACAGGCCTTTCTTCTGTGAGTCACTGGGTGTGTCTGCCTATATTCAGTGTTTTGAGAGAAAAGAATGCATTCTTAGAGCAAAATAAGCAAAGTGAAAACTATGTCTCTGGGGTAGGGAAGGATATCATTTATGCCATGTCCAATTACATTTATGGGGGTGAAACACAGAGGTAAAATAAAGGCATCAGGCCTAGCATGGTCAGACCTTAGGCAATACTGCTTTAAATTGTCCACTGATGTATCTACAGAGAACCTCAAAAGGAGGAGCCTTCGATGTGTTATTTTATCTAATTGCCTGGGAAATTATGTCCTTTAGGCCTTAATACTCAGAATGGCTCCTAGAACCTGAACAACCCTTGGGTCAGCGAGGAAATTCTGAAAATCATTCTTTCTTTTTCTTTTTTTTTAAAATATGTTTTTATTGATTTTTTTTTAGAGAGAGAGAGAAACATCAATGTGAGAGAGTTACATCAATCTGCTGCCTCTTGCATGCACACCCCCTACTGGGGATAGAGCCTGCAACCCTGGCACATGCCCTGACCAGGAATTGAACTGGGCCTCTCAGTCCATGGAATAACGTTCAGTTCACTGAGCCACACCAGCTGGGCTGAAAATTATTATTTTCACTTTGCTATTAAACAACTGAGGAATGGTCTCTGGCATACAGAGGCATTAATGTATGAGAGAAATGTTCATTTTTTCTACTGATTCATTATATGACTATCTAGAAATTGGGGTAATGTTCTTCCTTTTCAACAGTGGACTTTACACTGCCTGCCATCAGGTTCTCTCTGACAAGGGCCTCTAAAAAAGTAAGCCTGAATTTCTACAATGGAGTTGGGTGATGGGAGACCAAAATTATGTTTTATGCTTTTCTAGCACTGGACTTGGAATCAGAAGGCCTGTCCCTACTGTTTACTGTGTTATCTTAATTTAACAGGTTACGTTGAAGCTGAAAGTTTTAGTTTTTGAATCTATAAAATGGGATTACTAATTGTCTACTCACAAGATTGTGATAATTTACATGAGAGAGAACATTTGTAGAAGCACACAATTTACTGTGCTGTTCTCTGCAAGTATGAGGCTTCATTTGTCTCTTTGGGTATATGTCCTAGAAAACTGCTCTACGAACTGTCAGAAGACATCGACTCAGAGGACTTAAAGGACATGATCTTCCTTGTGCGGGAGTCGTTACCAAAAGTCCAGATGGTGAGTGGGTCATAAAGAATGGGGTCTTTGTGAGCATTGCCTTAAATGGTGTTTGGGGAGACGCTGGAAAGGGTTTTCAAGATGGTTTATTTTTTGCGGGAGAAAGTATCACACAATGGTTAGGAACATTGACTTTGATGTCTAATGGGCTTGGATTCTAGTGCTGGTTCTGCAACCAACTCCTCCATATGTGAGGCTAGTGATTGAACATTTTTGATTCTCCATCTTCTCATATGCCATACCACTTCCTTCCAGGATTGTTAGGAGGATTAGAGAAAATAATGTACATGGAACATTATGGCATAGGCTATACTTGCGTTTGACACACAGCAGCCATGAGTAAATGATTAACTGCTACTGGCATCCACTGTGTTTTATGATACAGAAATGTTCAGGGCACAACAAAGAAATGAGAAGGTAGGAAGTAACGGCAGAGTGAAAATTAGTCATTCGTTGTCTACATTAATTGAGGTGTGTTTTCAGTGGATTTCGCAGTGTCTCCCATGTAAGGTTTCTGTGAAAATCAAATGAATGAGAACCTCACCAATGCTCCTGTGCATACATGTTTAACTATCCCTTGTCACATTCTCCCCGATCAACTGATACTGACAAATAACTTTTTTGTTGGAAAAATAACTAAGGAGTGGGAAGCTGTGTTATGTGTGGTAGGTCAAATGAAGACCATGTTAATAATTCATTAAATATGCTTCTTCATGTCAGATCTGTAGACCAGAGCAGGTTATTTCTCTGTTTGGGCCACAGTCTTTTAGTTCCTTTTTCCTTTTTCAGAGCCCTGAGGAATTTTAGCCTTTTGTATCCTTTGATGGGTCATCTCTAGAGATCCTTTTCTTCCAAAGATTGGTTGTGAGTTCCTTGGGGGTGGGGGAGTCTACTCATTATTACAACCCCAGAATCTTGTAGACTCTGTTATGGAATGATGCTGTGAAAGACAGCATGAAAGAATGGGATGATGCAATCAACCCTTTCTTTTTTCTTCTGAAAGAAATGGTCTGAGCACTTTCTGTTTATGTGAGTTTACGGTGAATAATGGCAGGATCAGCAGGGTAAACTAAATCACCACGATGGAGAGATGCAAAGATATACTTACAATATTCTCATATTTGTTGCCCTTGGCAGAATCTATTAATTTTCTTCCTTAGATAGCCTCTGGAAGTTTTGATAGCCTCCTGTTATTGTTTGTTTTTCTTTTACACTTTTTCTTTCTTTCTTTTTTTTTATTCTTGAAACACACACACACACCAAAATGTGAGTAGTACAGAAAATGACACAAAATAAACATACAGCTAAATGAATCATTTTATGGCTAATACCCTTGAAACCACCACCCAGCTCAAGAAACTAAATTTTGCCAGCTGTTCCAGAAACCCCTCCATTTGCCCCATCCCAGTCACAGACCCTTCACAACCCCAGAAATAACTCCTGTCCTGCCTTTTATAGTAACCAGGTTCTAATTTTTTTTTTATGGTTTTATCACATACCTGTGCATCTTAGACCTCAATTTAGTCTTGACCAATTTTTTATTTTGAGTGTCCTTTATAAGTTAAACTCCCCTTCCACAATCCCTTTCTTTTGCTTACAACTGATCTGTTGAGGAACCCTAGGACAATTGGCCCATAGAATTTCTCCTAGTCTAGGTTTTGCTGATATGTGTGCTTGGTGCAGGGCAGCATGCTCTTCTATCTTCTGCATTTCCTACAAATTGGCAGCTGAATTCAGAGGCTTTATCAGACGCAGGTTAGATCCTGTAGGCAAGAACACAGTGGTCTTGTGTTACATTCTTTCATTGGGAAATACATAATTCCTGATTTTCTCCCTCCCTCTCTCTCTTTTAATTCTCACCCCAGGACATGTTTCCATTGATCTGAGGGAAAGAGGAAGGGGGAGAGAAAGAGAGAAATATCAATGTGAAAGAGAAACATTGATCGGCTGCCTCCATATGCGTCCTGATTGGGGACCGAACCTGAAACCTGGGTATGTGCCCTGACCAGGAATGGAACCTGCCACCTCTTGGTGCATGGGACAATGCTCCAACCAACTGAGCCAGACTGGCCAGGGTCTCTCTTTTTTGATAGTAACAACTGTTGATGTTTAACAGTATTATATATTGATTCTTTGAGGGTTGCAAAATGAGGATTTTTAAATTCTATAATTTTGTTTTTACCTTGTCTACTATTTGGTTATCTGGTGATATAGTTTATATATAAATCCTAGACTTTTTCTTTTATTTACCCAGTGTTTATGATAATTGACTAGTTTTCTGTCATTCTCTGAAAGTGACCCATTATAAAAAAATATATAAATTTGAATTCATAAATTTAAACATATTTGATGGGTTTCAATCTATTGCTGTTATTATTCTTATTGAAGCTTACATTGTCCTATTTTTGCCTAGTGGTAGCCTCTTCAAGTTGGTTCCTGAGTCATTTTTACATTACCCTAGTGGTCTTAGCTGGCTTCCTTGGTATGGTGAAATGTCACGGGTTCATTTTGTACATTTTCTGCCCAGACCTTGAATCCATTCTTTTTCTTGGCTTCTTCTTATGAGAAATGTTATTTCAAGACTACAAACTAGATGCTGAAGATGCTCATTGCTTCTAGTTGTTGTTGTTTTCTAAAGAACAGTGCTGGGAAATGTGTGTGTGTACTTGTTTTGTGGTTTATAAAATGCTTCATGAATTCATACTGCTACTTTTAAGTCAAATTCATGTTTTTAATGAATACTTTATAGACTATATCTGTTTCTTTTTCTTTCTTTCTTGCTGAGAATCGTGGTCCTTATGTCATAGGATATTTTAGAATTAGCCACATTATTATTTGTTTTCTTCTACAATACACATACAACACTCTAAGAACATCAATATTAATACTTCTACTTCTAATATGATTATTTATAACAGTTGAAACATTTATTTTGCATGTGCTACACCTATTATCTCCCTTCGTTTTTGGTTGAAATACATCTCCATTGTTAGAGTATATAGCCACTGTATACTACACAATGTATAGTCTTTTAAAATTTTATTTATTTCATCTTTACATTTTCTTTTAATCTTCATTTGGTTCTTTTTCTACAATTAGATATATATGTGTGGAAACGTAAAATACCCTACAAAGGTCATTTTTGTTCTTCAGACCCTCCTCCACTGGCTGGTAAAGAATTTATTTCTGTGATGAAATCTTTTGCAATTGCAATTGCAGATAATGTAGCCTTATTAAGTCCTGGTATGGAAACCCAGATGAGTTCCCATACCAGTGCTTAATAAGACGGCATCATATATATATATATAGTAGACCCCTTATCCATGGTTTTACTTTATGCCATTTCAGTTACTCAAGGTCAACTGTAGTCTAAAAATATGACATGGGATATTCCAGAAGTAAACATTCATAAGTTTTAAATTGCACTCTGTTCTGTGAGTAGCTTGATCAAATCTCTCACTGCGAAGCTTTGTCTAGCCCAGGATGTGAGTCACCTCTTTGCCTAGTGTATCCTGTATGTAAAATAGATATTTTGAGAGAAACCACCTTCATAAAACTTTTATTATTAAGAGCATATTATTATAGTTTTTCTATATTATCATCAGTTTTTGTTGTTAATCTCTTACTGTGCTTAATTTAGAAATTAAACTTTTCATGGGTATGTGTGTATGAGAAAAAGAGTACTATATATATATATACAGTATAGGGTTTGGTACTATCTAAGGTTTCAGGTGACTATGGGGGTCTTGGAACCTATTTCACCACAGATAAGGGGGAACTATTGTATAACACACACATGTATCCTAAGGGTCCACAAGTTCTGGCTAAATTAAAAGCCAGGGGGTTTGTTGCAGATAATAGCTCTTTAATATGCTCATGTTTGCATTGGTTCTAAGCAATTACCTACTCAAGTGACAGAATTTACCTTAAATACAGAACTTCTTAACATTAGAGGAGATTTCTGTACTTTGAAAGCTCTCCAGGTTATTCTATTAATATTCTCTCCCAGAGAGAAATAATATTTCACATCCTCCCACAATTTTTCCAGTTTCTAAATAAAATGAGACCACCTTCTATTTGTATACCTTTCCGTATGCCATGGACAGAAGTACTTACACCCTACAATGGGGCAGGGGATGAGATTTAGAAAAGGAGTCCCTGATATGCTCAGCACTCGGCCATGATTTTCCTCTAAGGAAAGCTGGGGGATGTGCCTCTTCCCACCTGTTTCTGCAGGTCCTAGACCTCTGCTTGAAGGCATCTGCAGCTACAAAAACTTTTTTTTTATTTAAAAAAAATTTTTTTCCCTTTATTAATTTTAGAGAGAGAGGAAGAGAAAGGGAGAGAGAGATAGAAACATTGATGAGAGAGAATATCGACTGGCCGCCTCCTGCATGCCCCCCACTGGGAATCTAGCCCACAACCTGGAGATGTGTCCTGACCAGGAATCGAACCTGCAACCTCTTGGTGCATGGGTCGACACTCAACCACTGAGCCACACCAGCCGGACAACAAAAACTTTTTATGGTCAGGAGCATTCCAAACATTTCTCCCCTGCTGAATTAGCTTTTAAATTTGTGCTCAAATGGCCAAATGATTTTATGTTTTTTTTTCACTTGGTACAACAGTAATAGGAAAAGTCATTGTGTTTAGATGTGCCATAGAAGTAGGGGATAATCTGGCCAAATTCAGGAAAACGGCACTTCCTTCTTGGATCCCAAATGATTCTAGCAAAATTCTGAAGGAGATCTAATTCTTCACATCAGAACTGTGGCTGAATGATACACCTTAGATAATCCAGATTTATCTCTATTGGACTTTGGGATCAGGCCAGCCTTCTAAAGTGTATAAAGGACAATCTTTAAGCAACCTGGATGAGTTTCCATACCAAGGCTTAGTAAGGCTACATGATCAGCAATTGTAATTGCAAAAGATTTGATCACAGAAATAAATGTCCTATCTGTCACTGGAGGAGGGTCTGCATACCCCTCAGCCCAAAAGGAAGGGTTCTAAATCCATAGGGTCACTCTGCAGGGATAGGGAACCTTTTTTCTGCCAAGGGCCATTTGGATATTTATAACATCATTCTCGGGCCATTCAAAATTATCAACTTAAAAATTAGCCTGCTATATTTGGTCAGGCTAATTTGGTGAGGCGTGTGATATTAGCTGGTACTGATTTCAGAGGCCCGACGTTCCTCACCCCTGCTAGAGGTACAAAATGATGCTTATAGGGTGTCCTAGGTTTCCTCTTTGATAGCTTTCACACAAGCTTATAGCACTATAGTTGCCTTCAACTTTCAGGAAATCAATGGTGATTGGTGTAGCAATCAACACAGAACGGTGATATGAAGGAAACCACACCCGAATCTACTAGCTTTTAAAAAAGGAAGCAGAAAAAGTGCATAATGAATATTTTGAGTGCTACAGGGAATTACATGGATTTGGAGAAAAGTGTGAATGTTGGAAAGTCTGACTATGAAGAGCCTTGTGTGATACTGGGGTACTGGGAAACCACCCAAGTTCTATATTTTCATGGGTATTGGTTATATATTATTGGGATATCCTTCCAATGAATTCATAAATGTTCTTTACCTAATTTCAGCAATCAAGAGATTATGTTGCTTGTAGTAAAAATGAAAACAATACAAAATATTTGGATAAAAAAATAAATAAATAAAAATAAAAAAGGAAGCAGAGCCTAGCCGATGTGGCTCAGTGGATTGGGTGTCATCCCGTGCACTGAAAGGTTGCTGGTTTGATTCCCTGTCAGGGCTCATGCCTGGGTTGCAGGCTCCACCCCTGGTGGAGGGTGTTCAGAGGGCAGCCGATCAGTGTTTCTCTCTCACATTGATGTTTCTGTTTCTCTCTCTCTTCTTGCTCTCCTTCTAAAAGATCAATAAAAACATATTAAAAAATAAAAATAAAATAAAACAAAAATCATCTCAGAGCTTCCTGCTAATATTTTACAGGGTGGTGTTCTTTTATTTAAATTTTTTTAAATTTATTTGTTTCTTTGTTTGTTTGTTTATTTAATAGAGGAAGGGAGAGGGAGAGGGAGAAGCATTGATGTGAGACTGAGACATCCATCAGCTGTCTCCTGCATGTCCCCTACTGGGGATTGAGCCCGAAACCCCGGCATGAGCCCTGACCAGAATTAAACCAGCAACCTTTTGGTGCACAGGACAATGCTGAGCCAACTAAGCCACACTAGCCAGGCTTCAGATTAATTTTTAATTATAGTTGACATACAATATTTTATTAGTTTCAGGTGTACAATATAGTGATTCAACATTTATATCACCTTACAAAATGATTACCGTATTAAGTCCAAACACAGGGTGTGGTGTTCTTAAACTAGAGTAGTGTACAGCCTTCATTTAAATTGTGTGTGTATGTATGTGTAGAAAGTGTCATTTAATAAATATCTAATAAACTTTCTACAAAGTATAATGAATTTCCATCATTGCTTCTGGAGTTATGTCTTAGCCCCTTTTCCTCCTGGTAGGATGCTGTCAAGATAGGAGCATCTGTTTTGAGGTTCAGAGAGAGCTCATTTGCACATGACCTACCACAGCAGCTTGTACAAGGTTCTCCCCAACCCCTTTGTGCAGCAAATCAGTTCTGGATAAATCGTCCATCCTCCACTCCTCTCTTCTGTTTTATTCCCTGGCCAAGCTCTTGGTGTGCTAGTGCTGTAGGTGGGGGCACACACACTTCTTTGCTTTTTTTTTTTTTTCTGGTTCTTCTACCTGTGTGTGGAATTTCTTGAAAGTTTATAATGTCCTTTTTGATTAGGTGGGTTTGTAGTTCTGGCCTTTCCCTTGGTTGTTGGCATTTTGAATGACTTCTTTGAAAACGCACACAGGCATACACACATTCTAATGAACAATTCCTCATCCTTCTGTTACTGATCCAACTTCCTCTTTCTCTCTATTGCCAAACTTCTTGAGAGAATAGTCTACACATACTCTGACTCCTCTATCTCTACTCTTGGACACGTTTCAATGCATTCCAGTATGGCTTTAGCTTTCATCACTCCTATGAAACTATTCTTGCTGCACTGCTATAAACATCGCATGAACAGATTTTTGGTTTGTCATCCTTTTCCCCACATTGTTTTCTTTGCCTGGAATGTTCTTTTCCATGTTGACAGTGAAGGACTAGTCATCCTTCAAGATGCAGTTCAAGTATTACCTCCCATCTGCAGCTTGTATGAAGCCTGCTATGTCAAATAGATAATAAATAAATGAGTGGTATCACTATTTATGTCATCTTTGACTCTTCACTTCTTCACCCACTTCCAACTGAGCTTCAAAACTTATCAAATTACTGCCTGGCCGTGGTGGCTCAGTGGATTGAGTGTCTTCCCATGGGCTGAGAGGTCCTGGTTGCATTCCCGGTCAGGGTACATGCCTGGCTTTCGGGCTCGATCCCCAGTTGGGAAAGTGCAGGAGGCAGCTGATTGATGTTTCTATCTCTCTCTCTCTCTAAAAAAAAAAAAAAAAATTTAATTTAAAAAGCTCACCAAATTACAATTCAGATGTGTTCTCAAATCCAGTGCCTCCTCTGCATTTCCACTACCAGTGTTAGACCAGGTCTCAATCATCTCTTTACCAGAGTATTAAATCTTTCTGCCAATATTTTCTCTCTAATCCATTCCTCCTCCTGCTTATCCTCTCTATTTTAAAACAAGCTTAATACATTGAGAAGCCTTAATCATTGAAAAGATTTAGTGCTTTCTGTCCCTTATATAATTCAATACTGAAATAATACTAGCCAATTTGCAGTTTTTCACAGGAGTACTTAAGAGATTTTTCTTTTAAAATATAAAACAGAAAATTATTTAAAAACATTTTACTCTCATTTCCTTGATGCCTCTGTTTTCCTGCTGAGTTAGAGGCAGTACTGCTCAATGGTTAATAAAGGAGACTTTGACTGACACTTATTGGCTCTGTGACCTTGGACAAGTTATTGAATCTCTCTGTGCCTCACTTGTTTCATTTTTAAAATGGAGATTATAGTAGCATCTACCTCATTTAGTTGTTTTTGAGGTTAATATATAGCAAGCACTTCCTGGTTATCTATCTATCTATCTATCTATCTATCTATCTATCTATCTATCTATCTATCATCTGGTATTAATACAGATTATATAGAGATTTACTTGGTAATGCCTTTTCCCCCACACTATTGAAACTCCCCATGGGACAAACAGCCTACCTTATTTATCAGTGCAAAACCAGATGCCTAGTGTCTACATGCTATTTAATGAATGAATGGATAATCACTAAGCAAGCAAATGTGACGCCATTGATTTTCTTGCAGACCTCGCTAAGTTTCCTGGAACATCTAGAGAAACAAGCTCAAATAGATGCAGATAATCTGACATTACTGGAGAATCTCTGCAAAACTGTTGCATCTAATCTTATGAGAAAGATAGAAAAATACAAATGTGAAAAAGGTAACTAACTTATGCTTACTTGCTTGCACCAGATCATGAAAATTACTAAACTAATTGGTCATGTATGATGTTTACTCATCACTCTGATAATATTCTCTTGGGAAAGCAAGAACTCTCCTCAATTTGTTCAACTCATTTATTAAATGCATGCTCTGTACTGGACACAGAAGCTTCTCTTGGGAACTTATATTCTAGGGGGGGGAAGTAGTTATCTTCTTCGCATTCTTATATGGGAGTGAGAGTATAGGAAACCTGTTAGAATGAAATAACCAAAGAGAAGGCAGGATAGCATAGGAATTATGCTATGGAGTCAGATTGCCAGGACACCATTTATTAATGGTGCAGTGGACCTTTCCTTAGCATTTTTTTTTTTGTTTTTTTTTTTTGTTTTTTGTTTTTGTTTTTGTTTTGTTTTGTTTTGTTTTTTTATCCTCACCTAAGGACATTTTTCCATTTTTTGTTCAGGTAGAGTGGGAGGGAGAGAGAGGAACAGAGAGAGAGAGAGAAACATCAACGTGAAAGGGACACATCGAGTGGCTGCCACCCGCACGACCCACCAGGGCCGGGGACTAACTGCAACCGAGGTACGTGCCCTTAGTGGGAACCGAACCCGGGTCTCTCCGGACCGCAGGTTTGGCTCTAACCGCTGAGCCAAACCGGCCAGGGCGTTTCCTTAGCATTTTTATGTCTCACTTTCCATGTCTATAAAATGGGGATAATAACTACATGCAAAAAAAAAAAAAAAAATGAAGCTAAACCACCAATTTACACCATACACAAGAATAAACTCAGAATGGATAAAAGACTTAAATGTGACTCATGAATCCATAAAAATATTAGAAGAAAATGTAGACAACAAAATTTCAGACATCACGTACAGCAGAATTTTCACAGATACAATGCTGAAGTCAAGAGAAATAAAGGGAAAAATTAATAAATGGTACTACATCAAACTGAAAAGCTTTTGCACAGCAAAAGAAACAAGCATCAAAATGGAAAGGGAACCCACTATATGGGAGAGCATAATTGCCAATGATACATCAGATGAGGAGTTAATTTCCAAAATATAGAGTGCTCATACAACTCAACAAAAGGAAGACAAAGAATTCAATTAAAAAATGGGCAGAGGACCTAAATAGACACCTCTCCAAATAGGACATACAAATGGCCAAAAGATAGATGAAAAAATGCTCAATCATCAGAGAGATGCAAATTAAAACAACTATGAGGTATCACCTCACACCTGTCAGAATGGCCGCCATCAACAAATCATCAAACAACAAGTGCTGGCGACGGTGTGGAGAAGAGGGGACTCTACTCCACTGTTGGTGGGAATGCAAATAGGTGCAGCCACTATTGAAAACAATTTGGTGTTTCCTCAAAATATTAAAAATTGAACTTCCATTTGACCCAGTGATCCTACTTCTTGGAATATACCCTAAGAAGCCTGAAACAGCAATCAGAAAGCATATATGTTCCCCTATGTCCTTAGTAGCACTATTTACAATTGCTAAGATCTGGAAACAGCCCAATTGTCCATCAGTAGATGAGTGGATAAAACAGCAGTGGTACATATACACAATGGAGTACTATGCAGCTACAGGAAAGTAAGATCTCTTATCCTTTGAGACGACAAGGAGGGACCTGGAGAGTATTATGCTAAGAGAAACAAGCCAAGCAGAGAAAGACAAATATCACATGATTTCACTTATTTGTGGAATATAATGAACAAAATAAGCTGATGAACAAAATAGACCCAGAGACATGGAAGATAGTGATAGTTAAAGAGAGAATGCTTTATCTTCCATTCTTCTTGGAGACAGGGCTCAAAATGAGCAGTCATGTAGTCACTCTTGGTTGGAAAGTCTCTTCTTTGGTTATTCAGTCACCAAACCCCACTGTATTCACAATGGTCAATTTTTTTATTTTTTATTTCATTATTATTACTTTTATCCTTACTCGAGGACTTTTTTTTCATTTTTTGTTCAGAGAGAGTGGGAGGGAGATAGAGGAAGAGAGAGAGAGAAACATCAACGTGAAAGGGACACATCGAGTGGCTGCCTCCCGCACGACCCAACCAGGGCCGGGGGACAAACTGCAACCAAGGTTATGTGCCCTTAGCGGGAACTGAACCCAGGACTCTGGACTGCAGGCCGATGCTCTAACCTCTGAGCCAAACCGGCCAGGACCACAATGGTCAATTTTAATCAAACATCACTTTCTTGGAGTTCATATGTCTGAGCTTTAAATGTAACATGTGGGTAAAATGTGAGGATTTATGGTCTTTATAATTAGTATTAAACAACATATCAATCAGCATTGATTTTCCAATTCCCCAACAAAGAGAATATTCAAACAGCAGCCTTATTGAATGGATCTATTGACCAGCTGATCAGACAAACTCCTAAAACCAGCCTAGCCAGACATAGTTAAAGAAGAAATATTTTATCTTTTTTGCAGAAGCTGAGCAAAGCAAGCTGAGGGCCAGTGAAGTGGCAGTCTCAGCCCCTGCCCCTACGTGTTGTGTCCCAGGGGCAGAGGGAGCCAGGGGGCTACAGGAGGAAAACCTACTTTCCGGTTCAGACTTTCAGCAATCCCTTATCTTAACGGTAGGTTCATTGATGTATTGGCAAATGTTTAACCACCAACTCCCCTCTGCACCTCCAACCCCCCAAGACAGAGAGAGGGAGAGGGAGAGAGAGAGGGAGGGAGGGGGAGAGAGAGAGAGAGAGAGAGAGAGAGAGAGAGAGAGAGAGAGAGAGATTTCCATGGCTGATTTCAAATTACCAATATGATATCAACTGTATTGCAGAATTTTTGAAAATCTAACAATGGCTCTCACTAGCTGGCTGGAGCTGACTCCAGTACACTACTATGTTGTACTGCGTCATCTGTTCTCATCTGTGGGGTTCGATCGGGGCTGCTTCATGGGCATGCAGCCTGTGCAGTTGCATAGGGCCCAAGCTTTTTGAATGTTTAGCTGTCACTGTTTTGAAATTCTTTTTTTAAATTCTTCACCTGAGGATATGTTGATTTCAAAGAGAGAAGAAGGGCGAGGGAGAGAGAGAGAGAGAGAAAGAAACAGCAATCATTTGCCTCCTGTTTGCACTCTAACTGCAGTTTGAACCTGCAACCTAGATATGTGCCCTGACCAGGAATCGAACCTGCCACTTTTTGGTGTAGGGGACAATACTCCAATCAACTGAGCCACATGGGCCAGGGCTGTTTTGAAATTCTTAATACTGCATGAACTTTTGTTTTGCACTGGACCCCACAAATTATGTAGCCAGACCTCCCTAGAGGACAAAAACTGAGTTTCTGTAGTGCTCTGCAACGGAAGGGTGGGTAGAGGGAATTGCAATCCGTTCCTCACAACATGATCAAGATTCTTGGTAGACATATGACATTCTTCTCTGGGATTTGTTTCTTTCCAGCAGACTTGAGCAGTTCTATTTTGCCAACCTTTGTTGGCATCAGTGAAGTTGGCTTGGCCTTGGAAATTTTTGTTTTTGTTTTTAATTGTGGTAGAATACAAGTAATATTAAATTTATCATCTTAAACATTTTTAAATGTACAGTTCAGTACTGTTAAGTACATTCACATGGTTGTGTAACCAGTCACCAGCACTCTTTTTATTTTGCAAAACTAAAATTCTGTATCCATTAAACAATAGCTGCCTATTCCCTTCCCCCACCAGCTCCTGGCAAACACATTTCTAGTTTCTGCCTCTATGAGCTTGACCACTCTAGGTACCTCATTTAAGTGGAGTCATACAATATTTGCTCTTTTGTTACTGGATTATTTTGTTTTGTATAATGTCTTCAAGGTTCATCCATGTCAGAATTTTCTTCCTTTTAAAGGCTGAATAATATTCCTTTGTGCTTATATCGCACATTTTGTTTATCCATTCATCTATTGATGGATACTTGGGTTGTTTTCACCTTTTGGCTACTGGAATTGTGCTCTGATGAACATAGTACAAATATCTCTTCAAGACCCTTCTTTCAGTTCTTTTGGGTATTTACCCAGAAGTGGAATTGCTGGTTCTTCGGGTAATTCTGTCTTTCATTTTTTGAAGAATCACCATACTGTTTTCCACAGCAGCTGCCGCACTTCTACTAACAACGCACAAAGGTTCCAATTTCTCCACATCTTTGCCAACCAAAGATGTAGCCATCCAAATGAGTGTGAGATGGCATCTCATTGTGGTTTTGATTTTTATTGCATCACTATGATTAGTGATGTTGGGCGTCCTTTCATGTGCTTGTTGACCATTTGTATATCTTATTTGGAGAAACAGGTTGTTTTTAAGTTTGGTTGTATGTGGAAGTTTTATTTATTTATTTATTTATTTATTTATTTTTGGTACATGCCCTTAGCGGGAACCGAAGCCAGGACTCTGGTCTGCAGGCTGATGCTCCAACCGCTGATCCAAACTGGCCAGGGCGGAAGTTTTATTTTTTATTTTTAAAAATTCTTTCAATAGAGTTCTGGTCAAGATGATGGTGTAGGTAAACGTGGTACTCAGAACCTCCCACAACCATATCAAAATTGCAACTAAATTAAGAACAACCATCATGCCCTGGCCAGTTTGGCTCAGCAATTAGAGCGTCGGCCTGCCATCCAGAGAGACCTGGGTTCGGTTCCCGCTAAGGGCATGTACCTCGGTTGCAATTTGTCCCCAGCCCTGGTTGGGTTGTGCAGGTGGCAGCCACTCGATGTGCCCCTTTCACGTCGATGTTTCTCTCTCTCTCTCCCTCCCACTTTATCTGAACAACAACAACAACAACAACAAAAATGAGAAAATGTCCTCGGGTGAGGATTTAAAAAAAAAAAAGAACAACCATCATTCAAAACACCTGAAATCTAGCCGAACAGAAGTCCTATGACTAAGGATATACAGAAGGAACCACATTGAGACTGATAGGAGGGGTGGAGACATGGAACAGGCTGGTTCCTCTCCCACATGTGGCACTTAATAATTGGGAGGTATATCTCAGTTGTGGAGGTCCCCCTGTAGAGCGAGGGGTCCCAGCCCCACACCAGGACCCCCAGCCCAGGGTTCCAGTGCTGGGAAGACAAGTCTCCATAACTTCTGTCTGTGAAAACTAACAATATCGTGGCTGAGTGAGACAAAGGCCTTCTGGAGTCCCAGGCTTTCCCCTTAAAGGGCCACACACTGACTTACTCAGACTCACTTATTCTGAGTATTCTTGCCACTGTGTCTTTGTGAACTTTTCCCTTTGGAAGAAGGGACTTGATTCTTTTCTTGTCACCTGCCAGTGACTTTTTCTATGGCCTGAGATTAGACATCAGTCCTTTTCTGCATCAACTCAATTTTTAAAAAACAGTTTACTCGTCAGGTTTATTATAAGGGATACAGCTCAAGACCATCCATATGGAAGAAGATCTGTAGGGCAAGACAGGAGAGTGGGGAGTGGCAGGGAGCTTCCATACCTTCTCAGGGCACATCATCTCAATGTGTTCACCAACCCATCAAGTCTAGATTTTCAACCCTTCTCCTAACTCTGTGACTTTCCTGCATTTTTTTGCTTTCTTAAAAGGAGGGGACCTGGCAAGACGAGCCTGAAAGGAGTAATAATGGTAGATGTTCCTAATGCCTTTTTTTTTCATCCTCACCCAAGGACATTTTTTGCATTTATCTTCAGATAGAGTGGGAGGAAGAGAGGGGGGAAGAGAGAGAGAGAAACATCGATGTGAAAGAGACACATTGACCAGTTGCCACCCACACAACCCCAACCAGGGCCGGGGACAAACTGCAACCAAGGTACATGCCCTTAGCGGGAACCGAACCTGGGACTCTTCGGTCTGCGGGCCGACGCTCTAACTGCTGAGCCAAACCAGCCAGGGCCCTAATGCCCTTTTAAAACTTGGCTCAATATAGCAGAAATAGATATATTTGATATGTACCACATTATTCATCGTGAGTTGGGAGAAGGTTTACAGATTTGTAGAGAACTCATTTCTTATCTCAATTCAGAGCAAGCCACTGAATGCATGGATTATACCAGGCTTTTCTATGGGAGGACAAAGAGGTGGTTTCTACTCTGAAAGCCTAGTATAGCAGCTCTGGGGAATGCAGGCAACCCTTCAGAATCAAGTCTCTTTCTGTGGGGAGGGAAGGAACCCCTGGTGGGACTGAGGCAGAGCAGAAGGTTGAGTCTGAGGGCATGTTGGCTATGGTGTGGCTCCAGATGCTGCTTGTAGAGGAAAAGAGGCCAGAGGGAGGGGCTTGGCAATGGTGTGTTTATTTTCCTGAATCCTTGCCCAGAAACCATAACCTCAGAAAAGTATTTCAAAATCTACCACTGGGCTAACCTGCTTGTGAACAAACAGGTTTGGGTGTTGTCTCTCTTTGATGTGTAAAGTTGATCATATCTGATTCCTCATTTATTTTGTTGTTGCAAATTTAAATTTCAGAGTTCAACACCCTCCACTTCCCTAGGAATCTCTGTTTTTCTGCTTAACTGGGAGGTTGCCTGATATGATGTTGGTAAGAGTTAATCATTATTGAATACTTGGCATGTGCCAGGCAGTGTTCGAAGAGCTTTCTAGGGCTTATCTCATTTAATTCTCCAATCACATTATCACTTAATAATGAGGAAACTGAGACCCAAGAGGTCTAGTACTTTGCTGAAGGTCAGAAAAGAGTGGAGCTGGAATTTGAACCCAGCAGTCTGAACCCAGAGCTCACCCTCCAAAGGCTGTTCCACTGTGTAGCTACAGGAGCTCAGGCAACGGCTTTACTTCTTTGAAAAATAAACATGTTTCTTTCGGTTTTGCAATTCTGGGGTTTCAAAGTTTAGACATGGCTTCCCTGAAGTGCTACCTTCTCCCAAAGTGAGGAGGAATATGTAGGTGCTCCATATGACTGCAGCTTGGGTCCTTTGGGGTGTGTTTTCTGGCCTGGGGGACACTGGACTTGTTTAGACTGAACTGAGCACCCAGGACTGCCCCTTAACCATAGTTAATAACTAACTCAGACCTCAGAGACGAGGGCAGAGCTTGCCGGATTCAACTGAGAACTTGTTTGTGGGAGAAAAAAAGTTTCAAGAGACCTTTTCCTGCTACCGTCATGTGATGAATAACTCATCACTGGCTTTCTCTTCGTGATGGATTCTTATTCAGAAAACCAGGGAGTTTGCAGAAAATTTTCAAAGTACTGCAATCCTTAGCTAATGCCAAAAGCACTGTTGTAGCCCGCGAGAAGAATCTGAACTCAGACTCCAAATGTGGTCAAATCAAAGAGAGCTTTATTAGCTTCGCAGCAACTGTCCCGTCCTGCTCACAGGAGGGAGCAGCCCCGAGCTTAGGGGGAGGGTTGCTTATATAGTTTTCTAGGCCCTGTTAAGAAATTGGGCTAAGGGTCTGCGAGCAAGCAAGCCGTACAGAAGTGGATATCTGCGTTTAGCCGTTATGTCTGAGGGATAAATAGTTCTATTTGCACAATACAATGGTTAACTGCACAATACAGTGGTTAACTGCACAATACAATGGTTACCTCTGGCTGATGTATATCTCCTTTCCCTTTGCCCAGTTCCTGTTATGCTCTTAAGGTTCAGGGGGTAAGGTCTGCCTAATGGAAAATTTTCTAATGGCAGGTTCCCATGTTCCCCTATTTACTGTCTTCTAGTTTTCCCTTCACAGCACGACTAAGTAATCCCAGGACTATGGACTGATTTTTGTCCTTCCCAGGTTGGATCTCTGGACCTTTTTATTCCCTTGTTCTTCTCCTTGGTATCTGCCCAGCCTCTCTCTAGCCAGTGACAGATAAATGCTTACTCTATCCAACCAAGCTTTCTACCAGAAACGTTTGAGCTGATTCATGTGATGTTGACTCTCAACCCATCCTGTGTAAGAACATCTAAGTGTTTGGGGAAAGATATTTGAAGAATACGAGTACTTCTCTTTCTTGGTGATGGAGGAACCCTGGTCTCTGTGGAGATGTTGGGACCATCTTCTTACAGTCTAACTTCTGAAACCAGCACAAAGTTTGGATAGTTTCTTCAGGGAGTCTCCAGCTGGGGCCCAGCCCTTAATGACCTTGAGGGCTCAGCATTCTTTGTGTCTGTCTTGGTTGTTCTTCTTGTGTCTGTGATGATCTCTGTCCTTCCTATCCTTTTCTAGAACCATCAGACGTGTGCTGACTTTTGGCCATGTGGGGGACACTGTTGCCTTTTCAGTAACACATACTTTTTAAATTATTTCCAGAAATGGAATTTGTTTTTTATCCACGAATTCCACTTCTTTTCTGTTTGGATTCAAGGTGTATCATGTTTTCAGGAGATCATTTGAGCCACAGAGGCCCCACTGAAGACAACTCAGATAAATTTTTTAAAATCTTTATTGTTGAATGTATAACAGATGTTCCTCATTTTCCCCCCATTGACCCCTCCTCCCCACTCTTGTCCCCCTCCTGCCTTTGCCCAAACTGTTGTCTGTGTCCATTGGTTATGCATATAAGTTCTTTGGTTTATTTCTTCACACTCCCCAGACCCCCTTCTCTTTGAGGTTTGTCAGTCTAACAACCAATTTGTACTTCTTAATCCCTTCACCTTTTTCACCCATTCCCCCCTTCCCCCTCCCATCTGGCAAGCAACAAAATGTTCTCTGTGTCTATGAGAATGTTTCTATTTTGCATGTTCATTTTGTTTGTAGATTCAATTGTTGATAGCTATGTATTCATTGCCATTTTGTTTGTTCATATTTTTTAGCTTTTTCTTCAAGAAGACCCATCAACATTTCATATAATAATGGTTTGGTGGTGATGAACTGCTTTAGCTTTTCCTTGTCTGGGAAACTCTTTATATAACCGTTGATTCTAAATGACAGCTTTGCAGGATAGAGTAATCTTGGTTGTAGGTTCTTGCTTTTCATCACTCTGAATACTTCTTGCCACTCCCTTCTGGCCTTCAAAGTTTCTTTTGAGAGATCAGCTGACAGTCTTATGGGGGTTCCCTTGTAGGTAAATAACTGCTTTTCTCTTGCTGCTTTTAAGAGTCTCTCTTTGTCTTGAACCTTTTGCATTTTGATGATGATGTGTCTTGGTGTGGGCCTCTTGGGGTTCATCTTGTTTGGGACTCTCTGTGCTTCCTGGACGTGTATGTCTGTATTCTTCACCAAGTTAGGGAAGTTTTCTGCCATTATTGTTTCAAATAGGTTTTTGATTTCTTGTTCTCTCTCTTCTCCTTCTGGCACCCCAAGATGGCGAATGTTGGTATGCTTGAAGTTGTCCCAGAGGCTCCTTACACTATCCTCATTGTTTTGGATTCTTTTTTCTTTTTGCTGTTCTGATTGGGTGTTTTTGCTTCCTTATATTCCAAATCAATGGTTTGCTTCTTGGCTTTACCTACTCTACTATTGAATCTGTGTAAATTATTCTTTATTTCAGTTAGTGCCTCCTTCATTTCTGACTGTGCATCCTTCATTTCTGACTGGTCCTTTTTTATGCTCTTGAGGCCCTCACTAAGTTCACTGAGGTTCTCACTAATTCATTGAGCATCCTTATAACCTGTATTTTGAACTCAGCATCTGTTAGATTGCTTATCTCCATTTCCCTTAGTTCTTTTCCTGGAGTTTTGTTCTGTTCTTTCATTTGGGACCTGTTTCTTTGTCTCCTCATTTTGGCTGCCTCCTTGTGTTTTTTTTTTTTTTTTTAATGTATTAATGAGAGGTATGGGGCTAGCTGAGACTAGATGCTGCTTATTTGGAAGAATTTAGGAAAACCTGAAGCAGGATCCAAGACCAGCCAATCCTATGATAAAGCAACTGGCAACAGCTTGGGTGGGCCTGAAAGTTGGGTGGGGCGGGGCCTCAGGGAATCACCAGGGCGGGGCTACCGGTGTGAGCCAGGTTGCTGGAGTCCCAGATATGGTGGCTGTCTGCCGCCCCAGAGAAGGGCTCACCAAAGGAACAAAGGCCTCTCACAGCAGTCTGTCCCAGAGAAAGCCCCCTCTCCAGCCCTTGCTCCAATGCCAAACAGCTCAGTTCTTCCCTGTATGTCTCTGGAGCCCCTTGAGCTGCCTCCCCTCCAAGCTTAGAGGGAGTGAGTCCGAAAAGTCCGTGCGCGGGCCCTTTAAGAGGATCTTCCTGGGGCTCCAGCCACTTCAGCCTCCTTGAGCCTCAGTTCCCGCTGGTTTTTCCAGCCAGAAGTTATGGGGACTTCTCTCCCTGGCACTGGAACCCTGAGCGGGGCACTGGTGTGGGACGGGGACCCCTCAGTCCTCAGGGAGGACCTTCCCAGCTGAGGTGTCCTTCTGATTTGTATCCACCACACATGGGTGTGGGGCCAGCCCGTCAGGCCTCCGCCCCTCCTACCAGTCTCGATGTGGCTGCTCCTTTAATTCCATAGTTGTAGGACTTCCATTCAGCTTGATGTCAGGCGGTTTTGAATGATGGTTGTTCTGTAGTTTAGTTGTAACTTTGATGTGGTTGTGGGAGGACGCGATACCGCGTTTACCTACCCGCCATCTTGACCGGGTTGTAATATTTTTTCAGATAATTTTTAATATATGCTATTTATAATAGCTTTCAGAAATAATTGCATATATATATTTATATATATATATATTTTATCATCCTCACCCGAGGACATCTTTTCATTTTTTTGTTCAGGTAGAGTGGGAGGAAGAGAGAGGAACAGAGAGAGAGAGAAACATCAATGTGAAAGGGACACATTGAGTGGCTGCTACCCGCACGACCAACCAGGGCCGGGGACAAACTGCAACCGAGGTACATGCCCTTAGCGGGAACCAAACCCGGGTCTCTCTGGACCACAGGCCGATGCTCTAACCGCTGAGCCAAACCGGCCAGAGCTGCATATATTTTTTAATTCCCACTGTGATTTTTACCAAAGAGATTTTTTTGTTTGTTTGTTTTGGAGGAATCAGATCACTCTGAATCCTACCATCTGAAAATAAAAGTTACCATATGATGTTTTTGTTATCATGTTAGATTCTTACTTATGCTTTCTTCACTCTGCTAATCCAAAAAGGAAGATGCGTTTGCATAAACTCTTTTGGGTTTTTTAAAGTTAAAATACATATTCTGTTATTTAACAGTGATAATTGACATTTTGCAATTAAACCAAGTGAAGCCTGAATTTTAATTAGGGCCTGGTGGTTGATTAATTCCAGACCAGGACCAGCGTCTTGAGAATTCTCTGCCTTTGGTACTGATAAATGTAGTAGTTGGTTAGAAACATTAAACTCTTAAAGTGAGGATTGCCTAATAAGTGGGCCTATCTCTTCTTCTTTCAAGGAAGAAACTATGTACAGGATGGATCGTAAGCATAGAGGCTTCTGTGTTATTATCAACAACCGCAGCTTTAACTCACTGTCAGAAAGAAAAGGGACCAATAAAGATGCTGGTAAGAAAGGCTGTACTAGTCTATCAAATGCAACTTGGGGACCTAAAAATCATTTTTTCTTTTCATATTTTTTCTGTAATTTTTATGTTCCGTTTAAATGTAAGGATGATATTACAAGTGTTTGTAAGCCTCTTATATGCCCTCGTGTTTTAGTCAATCCAGGCTACCACATCAAACTACCCAGACTGGGGCATATAACAACAATTTACTTCTCGTAGTTCTGAAGGCTGGCAGTCTAAGATCAAGGCTCTGGCGTCTCAGTGTCCGGTGAGAGTCTGCCTCCTAGATGGCCATCCTCTCCCTGGAAGAACGGGCAAGAAGGGGCAAAAGAACTCAGGATTCTCTCTGTGGGCTCAACCCTCATGGCCTAAACACCTCCCACAGGCCCCACTTTCTGGTGCTTGTACCTTGAGGGTTAGGATTTCAACATATGAATTTTGGGGAGACAAACTTTCAAGCCATAGCACCTGGGGTATCACCAACCTGCTTAAAGAGTGAAAAGGGTCCCTGACCCTTTATACCATGGTTTGGGGGTGAGCATGCTGGGTCAGTATGAGAAAGCCTGTGTTTGAGCTCTGGCTCCACCGCTAACCAGGTTTGTGACTGTGGGAGAGTCACAGGGCCTCAGCTCCCTCAGCCATGAGATAGGATGAATTCTGGCCTCTGCAGACTCTCAGGATCATTGTGGTAGCACTGTGGGTGCTATAAAAAGGCAGGGTAATTATAATATTTTATTGTTATGAAAGTAAAAAAATAATCTAGAGCTTCAGGCTATTGGCTGTGCAATTTTTATAACTATTAGCATGGTTTGACCTCTTCCTTTTATTTCATTTCACTCAATTTAATTTCATTTTCTTTTCTTTTCTTTTCTTTTTTTTAACAGAGTGCCTGAAGCTTGTGTTTCAGTGGCTTGGGTTCATTATAGATATATATGATAATGTGACTAAAAGTCACCTGGAGAAGGTTCTGCAAAAATATAAGAGGCATCCAGACCATGCTGATGGAGACTGCTTTGTGTTCTGTGTTCTGACCCATGGGAGATTTGGAGCTGTCTACTCTTCAGATGAGGCCCTAATTCCCATTCGGGAGATCATGTCTCACTTCACAGCCCAGCAGTGCCCTAGTCTGGCTAACAAACCCAAACTCTTTTTCATCCAGGCCTGTCAAGGTGAAGAGATACAATCTTCTGTATCCATTCAAGCAGATGCCATAAATCCTGAGCCAACCGACCCTCCCCTTGAGGACAGTGTTCCTGTTGAAGCAGATTTTCTTCTTGGCCTGGCCACTGTCCCCGGCTATGTATCTTTTCGTCACAAGACAAAAGGAAGCTGGTATATTCAAGCTCTGTGTAAATATTTGAAGGACTACGTCCCAAAGTAAGAGTTTCACATTTTTCTATCCACCTACCTGTTTATCCATCCGTCCATCCATCCATCCCTCCATCCATCCATCCATCCATCCAACAAACAAACCAGTACTGAGTACCAGCATATTAATTGGAAAGAAAGATACAGAATAAAAATGACACAGTCCCAGCCCTCAAGCTGCTCACAGTTAGAGGGACCCACAAGTCGATGGGGAAGAGCATCCTCAAGTGGTAAATACATACTGTAAAGCACAGGTGTTTGGGCACACCCAGATTTGGATGACCAGGGAAAACTTCTAACTGGGGTGAAAGACATGTTAAGCAGAGGGAACAGCATGGGGACCTTTTATTTGTTCCTTCCTTTATTCATTTATCAGTCACTGATATTTAGTAAGTGCCTACGTGCTACCTTTGACCATATTCATGGACTCCTGTCTGTGCTCTGACAACTTTCCTTCTGTCTCTGCCACATGCTCCTTACCTGGTACCCAGGAAACAGGCCTTTAGAAGCTTCTGATCTGGACCCCCTTCTCTACTGTCTCTCTCTAGATCCACTTGGCAGTTTTAGCTATACCTGGAGGCCACTGGCATCTCCATGACAATGTCTCCTAAATTGCCATCTCTGAATTTCTAGAGGGGTAGCTTAATTTTATGTCCTCAGTGCCTGACATAATATAAGATATATTATTGAGCTTAATAATTATTTGCTGGACCAATGAATGAATGACCAAGTCAACCTCATTCTTTTTGTTGTTGTTAATCCTCACCCGAGGATATTTTTCCCATTGATTTTTAGAGAGAGTGGAAGAGAGGGATGGAGAGAGGGAAACATTGATATGAGAGAGATACATTAATTGGTTGCTTCCTGCATGACCCCAACTGGGGCTGGAGATCCAGGTATATTACCTGCAACCCAGGTATATGCCCTTGACCAGGAATCAAACTTGTGACCTTTGGTGTGCAGACTGACATTATAACCATTGAGCAACACTGGCCAGGACTCAGCCTCATTCTTAAGGTCAGTCTTGCACACTTTTTCACAGCCTGCCAGACATCCTACCTTTGTGTTGCCCTTGGACCTCACATCTCATATAAATAGTCCTGAATTCATCTTCTCAGCCCTCTCCAGGAGCTCCTACTCCTGAATCCCATCTCTAGAAATGGCCACAATGTTCTGGGAATTTAAGGTAGGGAATCAGATTAGAACCTTGAGTTACCTAAGCAATTCACTCCTTTTACCAACCTCTCCATCCCTACCATAGCCATCAAAGAGCAATGTCCAATGGCTTCAGAGATGAGGCAGTATTTATCAAGGGAATGCTAAATGCCTGCTCTACTGGGTACTGAGCTAGGGGCTAAGGAGATGGTTGTGAACAAGAGAGACAACAATCTCTTCTCCATGGAGCTTACAGTCTAGTGAGAGGAAGACATATAATAAAAATATAAGTAAGTGAATATTTAAATGAATAAGATAATTTCAGAAAGTGATACCTGCTATGAAGGAAGCAAGACAGGATAATGATATAGAAAGTGGGGGCAAGGAGCTACTTGAGAAGGCTTCTTGGTAGAGGTGCTGGTTCGAGTGCAGTTGAATAATGAGAAGGAGAAGTCAGCCACAGGAAGATTTCAGGACAGAGAGAACAGCTAGTGTGAAGCAGGATGAAGGATAAGACTCAGGCAGGGCCTGAATTCCCACCTGAAAAATAATAATGATGACAAGAAGCAGTAGTAATACTAATCATACTAAAAAATGATTGTCATTGGAATACTGTAGCCAGTGTTCTAAGTGCTTTACATATATTACCTCATTTAATTCTCATGGCAATCCCTAAAATGAGTATTATTATTATTATGGTCTTCAGTTTAGAGCTGAGAAAATGGAAGCATAGTAAAGTAAGTAACCTGCCTAAGATACATAATCCATGAGTGATAGAGCTAGGGTTCAAACCTGAGTCTATCTCAAGAGTCTAGGCTTTGTGCCCAATGATATGTATTGCCTAGGCCTGGAACATTTATTCTAGTAAATGTTACATATCTTGCAAGCCCAGGCTCAAATGGTCCCTCCTCTCTTTGTCCTCCACACTTTCAATGGACCTTTGACCTTCTTTTCATATGGCATTGATTACATTCTGCCTTTGTGAATTTTGTGTGTATGTTGTCCTTGGTACATGTTTTATGCCTGTATTTTAAGTGTTTAAGATCAGGACTTGTTCATATTTATCTTTGTATTCCTCTCCAAACCAAGAAGAGAGAGGACATTAACAGTAGGTGCTACTTCTCTATCTCTATTATTACACATCGACTGGCTGCCTGCTGCACGACCCTGACCAGGGCCAGGGAGGAACCGCAACCTCGGTACATGCCCTTGGCCGGAATCAAACCCATGACTCATTGGTCCGCGGGCCGATGCTCTACCGCTGAGCCAAACTGGCCAAGGCTTTAGCATTTGGTTTTCAATTTCAGAAGTATTTCTTTATGTTTGGCAGGATTCCAGTTAGAATCTGGTCATGTTAGGCTAGGAAGAAGCCACATGATTTATGGTCTTATTTCTAAGACTTGGTACATGATTTCTGTCTCCTGATTGAAAATGTATTTTCTTCTCTGCCCGCAGACATGAAGACATCTTATCCATCCTCACTGCTGTCAATGACAATGTGAGTCGACAAGGTGAAACAAAGAAACAGATGCCTCAGCCTGTTTTCACACTACGTAAAAAAGTCATATTTCCTGTGCCACAGAAAGAACTTTTATTAGAGAGTTTTCATTGCTCTTAGACTTAAGAACCTTCTCTCCCAACTTCCCACCTACCATAGGAATCAGTGACAGGTGGTAAACTGGCCTTTGTCTACTATTCTAGTAATAAGAAATGCTCTATTTTCTGACACAGTAAATTCTGCCCCCCCCCCCACCTTTAAACAAGTCTAAATGCTACAAAACTTTTTTTTTTTTAAACTGATGCCTTGGATTCTAGTCTTGGTTTTGGCTGTACACCCTGAGAAAAAGTAACTGGCTTTGGTTTATGTATCTGTGAAGTAAAAGGTGGGACCAGGAACATTTTAAGGTTTCTTTTAGCTGTAAGAACCAATGTTCTTAAATTTCCTCTTTATATGACCACTCCTTGTTGTAAGGGACCGCTCTTGTGTCCCCTCTGCAGGGCCTTGTTTTGGACATTGGCCAATGAGGAGATCGTGGTTCACTGACTCACCCTCTGCTCTCCCCTTCCCAAGGTGTTTCTTCTGCACATCTAGTGAGGGGAAAGTTTGGTGGATGCCATGCCCACTTCCTGCTTTAGTGGTAAGGAAGGTGCTCCTGCAGGAATGCTTTTCTTGGGCTGGGAACTGGGTTGGCCCTAGGAAGGTGACAGCTGAGTATAAAAAGAGGCACACATCCAGCTACCTGGGAGCAGACACTTTTAAAATTCAGGTTTTGAACATTTTTATGTATGTGAACTCTTTTTTCAATTTCAAGAGGAATTTTTCTTTTTTAATTCTTGGGCAGAGGGAAATCCAAGGTGCTGTGGTTAAGACCTTCATTTATAGACGAGGATGCTGAGGCCCAAGGAGGAAGGGCAATTTGCTACCAGCCAGTCATTGTTTACATGATATTATTTCCCATGTGCGTGAACTGGACTGTCAGGGACATAGCAGGACGTTATGAACGTCTCTGTGGATATGCAGATGCTCATGAAAGATGTTAGGGAATGAAGAAAATTCTCAGTGATGCCTGATTTTATAATGATTTCTGTGAAAGTCAAATTTATTTATGGTGAACTTTCTATGAGAAATAATAACCTTGTTATAATGTAGCTAGTCATCACACGGATTGGAATGTAGCTTGGCAAAGGAAATGAATCTAATACATATGTCAGGATGGTCTTTTAAAACTATTGTTCACACAAGTCAAAGCTAACAGCTGGTTGTTACATATTTGTTCAACCGCATATACACAGCTGTTGGCCATTTAACAGTCCTTCTCTGCAAGGGAAGCACAGTGTGGTACAAAGGAAAGAGCAAAGAATCTGGAGATAGATAGAAGATTTGGGTTTCTGTTTTGCCCTGGGATTCCCTTGCTCTAAGACACCAAAGCTAGTTTTTTGAGCCTTATCTATAATGAGAGAAAATATTATCTGTTGGGAGGAGATATGTGTGTGTACATATACACACACACACATATATATATACATGTGCATGTGTGTGTGTATATTTATATACACATGCACAGGGTGGGGCAAAAGTAGGTTTTGCCCCACCCTGTATATATTTATAGATATCTGTTTAATTATATAGATACCTAATATAGATATAGATATAGATATAGATATAGATATAGATATAGATATAGATATAGATATTTGTTTCAATTTAATTGTGGTGGTGTGCATATAAGGTCTTTAGATGGCAGTCTTTGGTAGTAATGTAAATGGAAACAGCAGAATTTGAGTTCCTTTACCTCTAATTCCAGCTGACTTTTAGCAGCAAATCAACATTAGCAATACCTACTGCCATCCTCTGAGTGAAGAGCTGGCTCTTCCCTCACTGGTTCCCAATGTCCCCAGCAGCAGCAAGACCAGCTCCTGGCTCTGAGTCTAGATGGACAACACTGCTGATGAACTCTCCTTCACTAGCGACATTTGGGGTTTGATGTTTAAATCCTGCCTGTGATCTGTTTTATATTTCTGGATTGTAGTGCTTGTGCAAGATTAAATTCTAGACTCGGAAAATGCTCCATGACTTTCCTTTTCAAAGTTTCCAGCAAACATTTTAGGAGTCACTAAACATGTATACCTATGAGTCATGGGGTTATATAGACACCACACCAGGAGTGAAGCTGTCCTTGGTTTATTTTTCCGAAATGGAGCCTGTACACATGTTCTGTGTGAGTATGCTCAGGAACAATAGGAAGTGACTCGGTCACAGCTGTTTGGCAGTGGCTATAAATGTTCTGCCCAGAAAATGGGCTGATTGAGTGACCTTTCTGTATATTTTGCCTAGTTTTGCTCCACCTACAAGAGCTCTAGTTCTTTTTATGTTCTGTTGGACTTGAATCCATGACCTGAGAATGTACTTAAAACCACTGGTTCTCATTCTAAACTCTGGAGCCATATCAAACAAGTGTAATTATCCTCTGAGGAGTACATATGGTAAGGCAGTACGTTATTTAATTTTATTTCCTGGTAGGTGGAACCCTTTTTAAAAAGTATCAGGGGGAAATTCCTTGTTTAAAGAAAAACTCATTTGTCAATACAAACAACCATTTTCTAACATAAATTTCGCACATATAATCTTCAAAAGAGAATTTTTTAACTTATTTTTATTGTTGAATGTATTACAGATGTTCCTCATTTTTCTCCATTGACCCCTCCTTCCCACTCCCGCCTCCCTCCTGCCTTTCCCCACATTGTTGTCTGTGTCCATTGGTTATGCATATAAGTTCTTTGGTTTATTTCTTCACACTCCCCAGACCCCTTTCCCTTTGAGGTTTGTCAGTCTAGGCACCAATTTGTACTTCTTAATCCCTTCACCTTTTCACCCATTCCCCCAACCCACCTCCCATCTGGCAAGCAACAAAATGTTCTCTGTATCTATGAGAATGTTTCTGTTCTGCTTGTTCATTTTGTTTGTAGATTCAATTGTTGATAGCTATGTATTAATTGCCATTTTGTTTGTTCATATTTTTTAGCTTTTTCTTCAAGAAGACCCTTCAACATTTCATATAATAATAGTTTGGTGGTGATGAACTGCTTTAGCTTTTCCTTGTCTGGGAAACTCTTTATATGGCCATCGATTCTAAATGACAGCTTTGCAGGATAGAGTAATCTTGGTTATAGGTTCTTGGTTTTCATCACTCTGCCATTATTGTTTCAAACAGGTTTTTGATTTCTTGTTCTTTCTCTTCTCCTTCTGGCACCCCCAAGATACGAATGTTGGCACGCTTGAAGTTGTCCCAGAGGCTCCTTACACTATCCTCATTGTTTTGGATTCTTTTTTCTTTTTGCTGTTCTGATTGGGTGTTTTTGCTTCCTTATATTCCAAATCGATGGTTTGCTTCTTGGCTTTACATACTCTACTATTGAATCTGTGTAAATTATTCTTTATTTCAGTTAGTGCCTCCTTCATTTCTGACTGTGCATCCTTCATTTCTGACTGGTCCTTTTTTATGCTCTTGAGGCCCTCACTAAGTTCACTGAGGTTCTCGCTAATTCATTGAGCATCCTTATAAGCAGTGTTTTGAACTCGGCATCTGTTAGGTTGCTTATCTCCATTTCCCTTAGTTCTTTTCCTGGAGTTTTGTTCTGTTCTTTCATTTGGGACCTGTTTCTTTGTCTCCTCATTTTGGCTGCCTCCCTGTGTTTGTTTCTATGTATTACTTAACGAGAGGTATGGGGCTAGCTGAGACTAGATGCTGCTTGTTTGGAGGAATTTAGGAAAACCTGAAGCAGGATCCAAGACAGGCCAATCCTATGGTTAAGCAACTGGCAACAGCTTGGGTGGGCTTGAAAGTTGGGTGGGGTGGGGCAGGGCCTCAGGACATCACCAGGGCGGGGCAACCAGTGTGAGCCAGGTTGCTGGAGTCCCAGATATGGTGGCTGTCTGCTGCCCCTGGGAAGGGCTCACCAAAGGAACAAAGGCCTCTCACAGCACATCTGTCCAGGAGAAAGCCCCCTCTCCAGCCCTTGCTCCAATGCCAAACAGCTCAGTTCTTCCCTGTATGTCTCTGGTGCCCCTCAAGCTGCCTCCCCTCCAAGCTTAGAGGGACTGAGTCTGATAAGTCCGTGCGCGGGCCCTTTAAGAGGATCTTCCTGGGGCTCCAGCCGCCTCAGCCTCCCTGAGCCTCAGTTCCGGCTGGTTTTTCCAGCCAGAAGTTATGGGGATTCTCTTTCTGGCACTGGAACCCTGAACGGGGCACCTGGTGTGGGACAGGGACCCCTCAGTCCTCAGGGAGGACCTTCCCAGCCGAGGTGTCCTCCTGATTTGTATCCACCACACGTGGGTGTGGGGCCAGCCCATCAGCCTCCGCCCCTCCTACCAGTCTGGATGTGGCTACTTTGTTAATTCCGTAGTTGTAGGACTTCTGTTCAGCTTGATTTCAGGCGGTTTTGAATGATGGTTGTTCTATAGTTTATTTGTAACTTTGATGTGGTTATGGGAGGATGCGATACCATGTTTACCTATGCTGCCATCTTGACCGGACAAGAGAGTTTTTCTATTAAACATTAAAATTGTATTAATTCTTAATTCTTAATTTATTTTTGAATAGGTAATATCTTTGCATTGTTCAAAAATAAAAAAGCAGTACATAAAAAGGTGCCCAAGAAAAGTCTTGCTCTCATTTCTGTCTGCCCAGTCTTCATATCTCCTTGTTCCATAGATGATTTCAGGGTTTCATAATGCAGGTAAAAATACAAATACGTCTGTATTTTGATACAGGTGCTGCTTTAAAGTGTATGCACTGTGAAGCTTACGTCTCTCATTTGGTTTCATTTTAAATGATTCTATGCAAGGTGCTTGGAAATACTGATGCAATTCTAGAATGGGAATGACTTTACAAACTTTGTGGACTGTATACTTGTAAATAATAGTAATTGACTTACCAATAAATAAACAGATTTTTTTTCTTTTTGCCGTTGAGTAATATCTTTGATCTTACGTAATTATTTTTCTTTCCTGATTACACAGAAATATACACTCATTGTGGAATATTTGGGAAATACAGGAGCACATAGAGAAGAGTTAATTCATTTATGATTCCACTTTGGTGTACACTTTACCATTTCATCTGTATTTCTTCCTGATCTTCCCCACCCTCTTTAAATCAATTTAACCTCCATGTCTTCCCAGTCACACATCCAGTAAACTTTGTCATTACCAATATCTGTACTTCCACCCAAGTCTCAATTTCAAGCATGTCCCTCCCTCTCTGACAACCCCCTGCTTCCTGTTCGTCTCACTTCCTCTAGGACTCTCCCTCCAATGGTCTTCAGTGCCACCAGGGCCTCTGTTAGTCCATTAACCCTATCTGTCATCTTTCCAATGTCAACACCCCTCCCTCCCTCCCTCCCTCCCTCCCTCCCTCCCTCCCTCGTTCCCTCCCTTTCTTTTTTACCCAGCTAGTGTCCATGTGTCATCATTAAATTCTCTCTCTTGCACCCACCCTAAATACCCTTGCCTTTCCCTCAGTCCTAGTTATGGGAGAATCAAACTCTGGCTAATTTCATATGTCTGCTAACACGACTTTTGTACTGGATGGAATTCCTGATTGTGGCTGGTGTAAAAACACACACATTTAAAACCATTGACCACAACCTCAAATAGGCTTTCAGTTGTTCCTGGCAATCCTGTGCATTTCCATAGTTATATCCCCCTGTTGTTCTCTTAGACTATTTGCATCTTTTGTCTCCTGAGACATCTAGCATCCTCCACTTTCCTCGCTTTCACTTGATGTTGTCACTCATTTCACCAAGGGAAGTAAGCAGAATAGACTTCCATCTCCCATCACCAAGTGTCCTGCTCCACCTGCATTTGACCCTTCTTTGCTGCTTTGTCTCCTGTGAGCAATGGGTGAGCTATCTGTGCTACTCCGGAGTCAATGCCTCCTCTTGTGTAGGGACCATCCCATCCCGAATACTCAAGGACATCACTTTCAAAGCCCACCCTCCCCTCTCCCTCAGATCATTCTCCTGGGCATACAAAACATACTATAATCTCCCCTTCCTTCAAAACAACCCCCCCCAAATACCCATCTTTAGTCAGGCACTCAGGAGCAGGTCCTGAGAGGCGGATCCCTGCGCAGGGCATTTGCTCAGGAAGTGCTCTTTGCACCAGGACAGGGAGGGTGGGAGGCAGGCGGGCTGAGGCCACCCCCTCTCAGCCTGGCCTGGAGCAGTGCTCTGGAATGAAAATTATCCTCAGACTTCCACTCGACTGGAGCAAGGGAACTGGGCTTCCATCCTCCCTCACCCCTCCACCCTTGGTTAAGAGCTGCACCAGGTGAAGGAAGTTAAACCTCCAGGCACTGGTGGTCTGAGGGGAGTCCCTAACATAGTCCCCTCACATAGCCCCTTCAAGCTGGCGAGTGTGGGGGCGGGGTGGGGGGGGTGGGAGGGGGGGAGATGTAAAAATATCAGAAGACCTCTGCCTGGAGCACTAACAGCACCCTTTGACCCCGCATCTCACCTTCCCA